CCGGCGCTGCTCCTGCTCCTCGCTGCTGGACGAGGAGTGCGTTTACTTCTGCCACCTCGACATCATCTGGATCAACACCCCCGAGTGAGTGGACCGGGGAGGCTGCCGGCTCTGGGTTCGCCTTTGGTTGGAAAAAGGGGGGGGGGCGACGACGACACAGAAAGGGAGGGCGTCTTACGAAGAACAAATTCCCTGCAGAAATGGGAAGGGGAGGAAGGAATAGTTATTTGCACGGTCTCTCCTATTGCTTCCCCTGCGTCCTGCTTTTCCGCAGAGTTCCCCGAGAGGAAGCAAGCAGGATTTGACCACCTAGATTGAACAGGTAGCACCTAATAGCACCAACACACCTGCGTTCCTAAAATCTGTGGAGGAATATTTCCTTTGGGTGCTGCTTAGCAAAGGCTGCGGGATACTTTTCACTATGAGTCAGAAGCAGACAAAATGCCAAAAGTAGGATTTTGCCAGCCTGAATTTGTCTGACCGTTTTTCTTTCCAACAATTCGGAGGCTAGAAGGCTTCCTTTGACGCGGGGTGGCTCCTCGCCGCCTCTTACTGCTCTGTGCTGCAAACTAGTGCATCCCACGTGTTAACAGGGACATGTACAACGACCATTTCTATGCTCTCCTCTCCAAAAAGTAGTGAGCCAGAGCCTCCCCTAACTCTACAAACACTGCTTTGGTGATTTGTTCTGCTGCTGGGTTTCCTCGGAGCGGAGAGGATCTGTTCCTTGCTTTTACTGCTTCTTTCAGTGCTGGTAGTTACCAAAGTTCAAAGATATGAGGTTTTATCGCTTTCCCTTGCACAGGGAGGCACAGCAGCCTGTATGAAATCACAATTAAAAGGTCATTAGCCTTGTCAGTAGCCATGCTAATGAATATGTTGCAGGATCATCAGAAGGATTTTCATGGAAATTCTGTCCAAGGAGGCATGCCCAATCCCACAACCTTTACTCATGCAATCAATCCCATTGATAAGATTGCCCAAAATACCCTGCTGTTTTGAAGCCACAGAATTATTTGAATGACTTTCATGTTGTCTCTTTGATCATAGGAAGACTGTTCCGTATGGTCTCGGAGGCCCTTCTCGATCCAGAAGATCGCTGAAGGACATGGTGCCGGAGATGCTCGCTGAACCTAGCAGCAGATGCCGATGCGCCAACCAGAAGGACAAGAAATGTCTGAACTTCTGCCAGACAGGAAAAGATCTCTGGTGCGTCTATTGTTGCTACTCTTTAAAAGGCAGTGCCTATAAAAGGGATGGATTGTGGTAGACTTACTCATTTTGGCACTTGCCTAGTGAATAATCTCCCTAAAGCCTTGCCTCCTTACCTGAGTGCTCACACTGCTATGATACATACTATGGTTTGGCCCAGAAAGATGGCTTATTACATGCCTTGAGAAGTGGTTGATGAGATGCCTCACCTTGTGGACTGCAGACTTGGTGGTTCGTTTTTTTCTTTTAACAGCAGCACCTTTTGATTTTTAACAGGGCTCAGTCCACAGTGGAGAAAACCTCACGTTACCGCGACAAAGCTGGCAATTGCATCGGACCCAAATGCATGAGCCGACAGCTTGTTGACAGCAGGAAAGTGAAGCGGTGAGTTTCTTCTCATCCTGTTGTAGTTCCCCGAAGTAGCAATAGAGAGCACAGTTCACCTGTGTTCAGGTCAACGTGGGCTTCGCTGGTGATTTCAGCTGGAGAGTTTTGGAGGAATCAGTGAGGATATCTTGAGGATTTTTGTTCATGCAGTGGGTTCTTAGCTTCTGAGGACATGGGTGCTGAGCTCTGTCTGGCATCCTCCATTTGCTTAGAGGAAGCAGGTTTAGTTGTAGGCCTAAAGATACACCAAACTTCAGAAGATCATGAAATCATGAAATATTGGCAGAAATAAATACAGCCTGTCATTTTAGTGTACTATCTTAACTACTTAAAAATAATATGTCCCAACTATTCTAATACGAAGTTGAATCAGAATGCCTTTTCTTAGATACTTTACTCCATTTTACTGTAGGGGAAATGAAGATTACTGATCTATCCAGATTTTTAATATATTGTTTCTTCCAGCTGGTCTGGCTGGCTTTTTAGGATGCAGGAGGCAGATTTCTACCTGCCTTATCTCTTACGTTGCCCAATAAACCTGTGTAAGATGAGTATAGGACGTTAGTGATGTAAATGACTCCAAAAAGGTTAAGGAAAGGGAAAATGAAGACTTTAATTAATGTTTGAGCCCAATTTCATATTTGGGATTAGAAGTAAATTTCAGAACTGCCCTTCGTCTGTGCGTAGTAAGTTGAGTGGCAGCAGGCAGCTGTATCGGTGCACAGTGCAGTTCGGAGGCACATGCGTTGAACTTGGTGCAGCTACAAACCCCGCAGAGGAGAGGTCAGCTTTGAAGATGCGTGTTAGTACAGCTCTATCAGCTCTGGCTTTCAGCGTTCGGCCATATGCCCGGTGTAAAAGTATGGCATGCAGGAGTTTGCCCATACAAAAGTCGACTCTTCGGTGCTATTTTCAAAAGCAGAGCAGGATTTATGGGAGCAGGCAGCCTGACAATTTTGAGTGAGACTTAGGCCCTGAAAGTCTTAAATCACTTTTGAAAATGGGCCTTGCTTGCTTACTTGAAAAATGCACCCATTCATTGGAACCGGGATCAGGTTTACCTAAAAGAAACAAAACAACCCAAGAGAGTAGCACTGTAAGACCTCTTGATTGGATACGTGCTATTTAAGGAAGTCTAGGGCATCTATATTTGAATGAATATTTTAACTTATTTTAATATTTGCATTTAAATTCTAAATCCAATATTTCAAGTGGCTTAAGTTAGCATAATTCTGACAGAGGTATAGCAATCAGCCATTACTGAGGACCCCCCATGGCAGAAATCTAGACTGAGGCGTATTTAATCAAAAACTGAGTGTCTACACACTGGAGATGCACCTTCATTATCATAACAAGAAATGTATATTTCTTATTTTTGCAGGTTGGAAGCCATTGGTAACAGTATCAAAACTTCCTTCAGTATTGCAAAGCTGAAGGCTGAGCTCCAGAAAGGGCGGAAGCTGAAACACAACAGGGCGAACAAAAGGCAAAGCATCTGGGAAAGCCTGGAAGCATCCTAGTGGGAAGATGACCTGAATCTTTTTCCATCACACTTGCTGACAAAGCGTCACCAAAACTCTCTGTTGACTTCTAACGTTTGACAACAGCAAAAGGCCTCTCTGTCTGAGTGTTCACACAGCAGAGAAAAACACTAAGGAAGTCCCGTATTTGGAGGTATAAAAGCAAAGGATGTCATCATTCTGGAATTCAGATGGACGGGTAGAGGGGGTGAAGGGGAGTAACATGCATGAAAAGCCATCTTTCTGAAGAAACATTTGAATATTGTTTCTGGAATGTTACCCATCAATTGAGCAGCTTTCAGGGTCTACATCAAAAGCATTTCGCAAGGAAGACCTCCCAGATGTGCTTAGAAAGGACAGAAAGCACAATCTGAGTGGACAAACTTCAAAGCGAAAAACTCTACCTTTTGATTAAAATGCAAAAATGAAAGCCACAGTGCTACTTTAATCAGGACTTACTTACTGCATATATACATGTCTACCTCGCGTACTGTTTGTTGCACTCCTGCTAGAGTATTTTTACACCTTGTTATTGCCTTTACTGATCAGCTGCAACCCTTTGCCTTTTTTTCAGAAGTCTAGTTTACTTGTACAGCCAGAGTTATCTGAATGTGGGTTAGACGCTGTGGTTGTTTGTATAGTCAGAGTCTTTTGGTTTTGGATACCGAAGGACTCTTCAATATAAAATAAAATGTAGAGGACACTACTAGGTTTCCCATAACAAGGATATTTGGCTAACTGAAGTTCTAAAAATAGAAGTTGTTGTGTCTTACATGCCACCAAAAATGCACTGAAGTGGGGATGTACCAGAGGCTGTTGTGAGTTTTATTCAGTGCCTTGTTTGGTGTAAATGCATCGAGACAAAGGGTTGTTTTGAATTATGTCAAAAGGCTAATATTGGGTGAATGTTTATAGCAGCGAATTTGTTCACATTGTTGAATTTGCTGACAGGTTGAATCTTTTGTGCTTATTTTTTTGTGTTTTGTATTTATATTCACACAAGTTCTTCATTATATTTACCATGTTGAATACACATTGAAGTAGGCCATATTGGTCTATGCATGTTTTATGTATTTCTGTATGAAATTGGGAAATGCTTTATGCCTATCAAGGTAAATATCTTCAGAAATAAATATTTTTAATTACTGTATTGGATTGTTTTTCATATGCCCTGTGTTTTCTGTAGGCTGTGGCTCCCTGATCACAGAGGTAGATCACCCCACGTACAAAACTGACCTAGGTGAAGTGTGTGCACATGATTGCCTTTCTGTCAGATTAGCCAGATCACAACATAGAAAGGTTATGCCAGGTGTGAGACAACAGATAATACTTGTTCTAGCTTCAACCTTGCTTATCAAAATTTCATGGTGAAATTTGAAGTGGCCAAATGAACTTACCCTGGAGCAGCACTCTCACGTGGCTGATCCAACAGTACAAATTCTAATGTTTGGTTTATTGTACCATTAAAATATCACTGGTAAGGGGTTGGATATGCATGAAGTAGAGGAGAAAATGCACACATTGGATGCTTTGTGGGCTATATTGGACTAGGCTGTGTTATGTTACTTATTACCATGCTATCCCAAAAAGTTTCACCCCAGCCCACGGAAGTTAAAGATGGAGACCTCAGTGGAGTCTGGCCCAAGCCCAGGAAAGAGCTAGAGCAATAGTCAAACTTTGCATGTCTCCAAACGCTTTGGCCTGAAGTGGTTATAGCTGAAAGACGCTTAAAGCAAATAAATGGATTTAATCATCTGTGATCGTACTGGGGGAAAAAAAAAAGCACCATGGATAAAACTGAGTGGTTTGTTTTTTTTTAAAAACCAAACTTTTACAAACAAATACAATACAAGGTGTGTTGGCACTTAACACTGAGAGCAGTCACTGTTAAAAATTTCTGAAATTGTTCTGGATTTCTTGTCAATATTCATTTGCTTGCAGCGTTTTTCACACCCAAACACGATAAGGCTGAATAAAGCCCATAGCAGGTTTCCTTTATGCTGTTCTGCTACATTTTGGGGCAGTAATTCAGTGGAGAGATGCCAGCACCGGCAGCCCGGGTCTGACAGGAGATAAACAGGATAAATGGTGCCATGGGTGGGCTTTTTAGTAGCCCAAATTCAGGGCCAGCTACTCAAGGGATTCTTGAGAGACCATGATAAAAAGAAACCTGTTTCTTCTAGGGTTTTCTGTGCACACGCCTGGCCGTCAAAGCTGGCTTTCCCTCCCTTTCCCTCCCTTTCCCTTCCCTCTCCCTCTCCCTCTCCCCCATTGCTTGCTCGCGCTGCAGCTTTGTGTAGTGAAGGGCACCCACCGGCTTTTTGGGGAAGGTGCGGTCCCCAGAGCCGTGCGAGGTAAAGCGAGAGCCCCGCACAGCACCGAGCCCGAGCGGCATCGCGAGGAGCACGAGGAGGGTGAGACGCCCCATGCCAGGGCCTTGCGGGCTGTGGGGAGAGCAGCCGAAGCCATTTTGTGCTGCCCAGCCTGCGCCCCTGCCCCTGCCCTTGCGCTGGTTACCTTCTGGCACAGGAGCGTAAGCGGCGGCTTCCTCTGGTTTGCGTGAATGAGCTGGACCGAACCAGAAGTTAACCGCCTGCCCGTCCGGCTGAATGAGCAAACGGGAACATGGAGCGTTTTGTCGTCAGGCTGGCTCACGTGCCAGCGCCAGGCCCCTCCCGGAGGTTTGCTCCTTCTCAAAGCGAGCTCCGAGCGGAAAGAGGTTCAGTCACTCAGGCCCGAACCCCCGGTGAAGAGAAGAGAGGCGTGGTATGTGCTGGGGTTTATGGCACTGACCACAGAGCAGTGTAAAAGTACATCCTCTTGTATGTAAAAGTACATTCTCAGCTTCTGATAAACGACATGAGCGAAAAAATACTCTACGTGAAGCCAAGGGAAATACTGTGCTGACTGCAGAGGCAGGGCTGCAGTCAGGGCGCTCATTCTCCTAGCTAGAACTAATCTCACTTTTTCTCTTAAAAGTAAACCTTTCACGGCCGTGATCTGTCTCCTTTTTCTGCGAGAGATTTCTCTAATCCAGGATGAAATTTAAGAAGGGGGAAGGGAAGCTTATAGAGAAGAGGGCCACTACTTTCCACAGTGGCCATACTCTAACAGTCCCAAAACACACCCGATGTATGGCTGAAATTCCAGCTCGCACCCAGAGCGAGGAAAGTCCCCATTCCGGAGCTGTCGGCAAATTCTATCTATCTCCCTCCTCTGATTTTTCCGGGGTTTGCCATGGTCATTTCTGAAATTGCAAAAAGTTTCACAGGAAAAGACAACTATTTCTCCCCCAAATTAAACTTGTACTTATTTTTATTCAGCGCTGTGTGTAATTCTTTCTTGCTCAGCTGGTTTATTTTTATTTTCTCTGCAAAAAGGCTGTTTTGACTATATGTCAGAACAAGGTATACAATAAAACAAAGCTTCGACATGTGAGTCAGGCTTCAAGTCAGGAAAATACTACAATGCTACTGAAATTCTTTCCATCTTATCTACATATTTCTGACCTAATTTTTCCAGAAATGGCAGCTCTAATCTGTACCATGTTATCATGAACTGCCCCAAAATAATTCACGCAGGATGTCCTAATGTTGCCTATAGAAGTTACCAAATACCAGCCTCTTTGTTCATGTTTCCTTACATTAGGCTAAATTTAGCCACCAAAACACACTTCTATATTTACAAACACAGAATGAGCTGGACAAACTGCTGTGGGAGTGCTATCTGATGTTTACTTTCTTCACACTCAACTGTTTGCCTCTGTGTATATAAAACCATATCAATTTTGACTTCGTCTGCATCATGGTGCTATTATTAGGTTCCTTGGGTAGAATTCCAGCTTCCATCCGCAGCCGATATCTTTATTTAATTTACTGTTCTTCCTTCGTGACCTAGGAAACCAAAGGACGGAGTTTTTGATTAATTAGAGGAGAATGCTTGGAAGCTGTGATGGTGAGTGTAAGTATGCGAAGAGACAGAGCGCCACAGATAAAGTACAAAGATAGCGGCAGGATCGTTTTTCCTGAGGTAAACATCGTGCGAACGACATTTCGGAAACTTAGCCAGAATGGGTGTTCGTGTCTTCCTTTATTTTATATCTCTGATCAAATCTGAGCTAGGTGAAAAATGATAGGGAAGCCTATTTTGCTATTTCTCAGTATGGTTAAACAATCGGCTGGCATGTCTTAGCGGCGTGCCTGGGACAAGTTCCTCTGCTCTGACCAGGTCAAGGAGACCTGAATTCTGCCTGAAGTCCACCGGGTCAGTCGGTCAGCCAACAATTCCCTCAGCTTTAGAGGCATCATTTATGCCAATGAGACAAGAGCAGAATTCGACCCAGAAAGGCTTCGTTCTTTCTGATATCACCACGATGGGGGCAAACAGACACCAATTTCCTGATGCTAGCACAGGGCTCCAGTGTCTCTTGCTGCTCCTGGTCTGGGTTTGGTTTTTCTGTTGGGTTTTTGTTCAGTATTTTTTTCCCCCCTGCAAGCATTTGCTAGTAACAAATTAGATAAATATCACTTTGGTAAGCAATGGGGCAGTTTGCCTCTGGCTCAAGAAAGCTATGTTCAGAAATGGATGAGCCCCGTGGAGTTTGTGGTTTCATTGACCTCTCCAACTATTTTGGGGGCTGCAGAAATTATTTGAGTTCATCAGCTGTAATTCAAGCCCACACTGTTGTTGTTGTGTTTTTCCCCCCAAGAGGAAATAAAAAAGGAAACAACCCTAAGCCTAACCTTTTTCTAGTGAAAGGAAAAAGTTATGTGATGTGCCAGTCACTAGAAACAAAGTCAACCTCTAGTCTGGCAAGAAGAAAGTAGCACTGTATTTTGGTTGTATATATTGCATTTACATTTTCCTCTGCTTTTTTCATCTCTTTTCACAGACACAATTCAGCCAAGCACTTGGTGAAGTGTCCATCACGAAAAGTTAGCCAGTGCCCTAAGGACTTCTTGTGCCAAGGGACGCACATGTATTGAATATTTTGATGGACCAGAGCTTCTCCTCTTGTCATCTTTTTCATCTTCATTTCAGTTCTATTGTTGC